ACGGATTTCTCATGACTTAATGGTGTTCTTCAATGAAAGCAGAGAGCATAACTTTAACATGGAGCTTAGGGAGGGCATTTCTTCAAGGACTTAACACAATTCAAATATCATCTAGCTTAATTCAAGGACTTCGTCACGTAGATATGTAAATGGACTGCATACCTTTAAAAATTTTTTTCATCCATCATTTCTCTCAACTAGGCTCTTAATAGGAGTAGATAACAGACAGTATTGAATTTTCTGGCAAGGGCCTGGATTTTGTGAATTGATCTCCCCCTGGACAACTTCTAAGGACGATGATGTTCTTTCCTTCCATCTCCACAGTCTGCCACATAGTGATGACTCAATAAATATTTACCAAATGAGTGGCTGTCAGTAATTAGATTCTGATGGTGTTTTGGGGTTGATGTTTGAAGTGTGTATTTTGCTATATTGTATCAACCAAACAATAGTGGAAGTCCACCTAGACTAGGGTTTCTCAAAAGTGGCATTACTGACATTTGGGGCCAGATAATTCTTTGTTGTGGAGGGTTTTCCTGTGCACTGTAGGATGATTATTAGCAGCATCTTTGACCTGTACCCACTAGATGCCAATAGAACCCCCAGTCATAATAAAAATGTCTCTAGACATTGCCAAAGGTGCCTTGGTGGGACAGAATCGCTCCTCATTGAGAATGAGCTAGATCATGGGTCCCCAGGGATTACATGTAGAGAGATCAAAACAGCTTCAGAATTGCTTTTTCCATAGTTTGACTTGTTTGGTTAAACCATGAATGTTTAATTAGGTGCTAAAAGAAATAAAATGGAAGTGTAAAGTGCTGCCAATTTATAGTGTTATAAGGGAACAGGATAGAAATGGTAAAGATTAAGTAAACTGATGGACTTTTTTTAAAAATTAAAGACTATAATTGAAATGTTGACCTAAAGAAAATTAGGTATGGCTCAATAATTGAATAAATGTTACTAAAATGATCCTAGCTATTGGAGCTTTAAAAAGATTAAGTCCTACTTGGTTGCTTCTCTGTAATATATGGGGCATAGCAGAATACGAAACTGTTGCTTTTGAAAAGTATACTTTTAAAATGATCTCAAAGGGCACCTGGGTGGCTCAGTTGGTTAAGCAACTGCCTTCGGCTCAGGTCATGATCCTGGAGTCCCGGGATCGAGTCCCACATCAGGCTCCCTGCTGAGCAGGGAGTCTGCTTCTCCCTCTGACCCTCTTCCCTCTCGTGCTCTCTCTCTCATTCTCTCTCTCTCAAATAAATAAATAAAATCTAAAAAAATAAAATGATCTCAAGGAAGAAATGATTTCTCTTAACTGTAGCCTGATTTTGCTAATTTATAAGCAAAATGACTAAAGCTTAAGTATACCATGAAGTTAATTATATTTCTTCTCCCTAAGAGGTCTCTCTAGCCTTGGCAGACATATGGTTTGATGATGTGATATAAGTAGGTGCATATTTTTAAAAATCCTTCAGAATAGTTGATATTGTGCTTTTAGAAAAATGGTTTTCTAATGTCTGTCTTGTTGGGAAATAGTATGTATTTCACATGTAATGGGTGACCACTGATGACCATGGCGCTTTAGAACATTGCAGAGGCAATCATTTATGTAGTTCCTGACCATAATCTTATTGCCATGGACTAGTGGCTATTAAATGGCTCCATTTCCCCCACCCCCCTTTTTGAGTGGGAGTTCTGTTACCATTATTCTATCCCTTTCTCATATATTGGGTGTTTGGGGGAGAGGAGGCAAAGAACTTATTTTCTCAGTTATAGATTTACACATTGAGAGGAGCTGTACCCAGGATCCTCATTCACAGGCAGACCTGGTGCAGATGACAAGACCCTAGACTTTGAGCCAATGATAAAAGGTGATGAGGCTTTTGAGAGAGGGATGTAAATTGTTGTGGCCAGAGCAGGAAAAGAAGCAAGTGATGGTGGAAGCATTGTGGCCTCATTTTTCAGCAATAACTGGGAGACAGAACTTGAACTGCAAGAATGAGGGGTATGTGAGCTGTGGGAGAAGGGATGGGATGGTTCGGGAAGACGCTATAATGAAGCCTCAAGAAGAAATACACAAAGGAGGAAACTACCCTACATTGTCCAGGAGAAGGTATACTCCGTTTCCTTAGCCTTACAACATTGATTCTACAAGATAATGCAGAGGATAAGATAATGCAAAGATTAGATTCCAAAGCAGGAAAGAATATCCCATGGAAAAAAGACAGTCTCTTCAACAAATGGTGTTGAGAAAATTGGACAGCCACCTGCAGAAGAATGAAACAGGACCATTTCCTTACACCACACACAAAAATAGAATAGATGAAAGACCTAAATGTGAGAAAGGAATCCATCAAAATCTTTGAGGAGAACACAGGCAGCAACCTCTTCGACCTCAGCCGCAGCAACTTCTTCCTAGAAACATCGCGAAAGGCAAGGGAAGCAAGGGCAAAAATGAACTATTGGGACTTCCTCAAGATAAAAAACTTTTGCACAGCCAAGGAAACAGCCAACAAAACCAAAAGACAACCGGCAGAATGGGAAAAGATATTTGCAAATGACGTATCAGATAAAGGGCTAGTATCCAAAATCTGTGAAGAACTTGCCAAACTCAACACCCAAAGAACAAATAATCCAATCAAGAAATGGGCAGAAGACATGAACAGACATTTTTCCAAAGAAGACATCCAAATGGCCAACAGCCACACGAAAAAGTGCTCAACAGCATTTGGCATCAGGGAAATACAAATCAAAATCTCAATGAGATACCACCTCACACCGGTCAGAATGGCTAAAATTAACAAGTCAGGAAATGACAGATGTTGGCAAGGATGTGGAGAAAGGGGAACCCTCCTACACTGTTGGTGGGAATGCAAGCTGGTGCAGCCACTCTGGAAAACAGTATGGAGGTTCCTCAAAAAGTTGAAAATAGAGCTACCCTAGCAATTGCACTACTGGGTATTTACCCCAAAGATACAAATGTAGTGATCCGAAGGGGCACGTGCACCCCAATGTTTATAGCAGCAATGTCCACAATAGCCAAACTATGGAAAGAGCCTAGATGTCCATCAACAGATGAATAGATAAAGAAGATGTGGTGTTTATGTACACACACACACACACACACACACACACACACTGGAATATTATGTAGCCATCAAAAAATGAAATCTTGCATTTGCGACGACGTGGGTGGAACTAGAGGGTATTACGCTAAGCAAAATAAGTCAATTAGGGAAAGACAATTATCATATGATCTCACTGATATGAGGAATTTGAGAAACAAGACAGAGGATCATAGGGGAAGGGAGGGAAAAATAAAACAAGACGAAACCAGAGAAGGAGACAAACCCTAGAGATTCTTAATCTTAGGAAACAAACTGAGGGTTGCTGGAGTGGAGGGGGGTGGTAGGGATGGGGTGGCTGGGTGATGGACATTGGGGAGGGTATGTGCTATGGTGAGCGCTGTGAATTGTGTAAGACTCATGAATCACAGCTGTATACCCCTGAAACAAATAATACATTATATGTTAAAAAAAAAAAAGATTAGATTCCTAAGATGGCATTTGCTCTTAAGTACATCAGCCGTGAAACGAATTACTGTGGGAAAAGATTTATTATTTGAGGTAGGACGTACTTGGTTTTAAATTTCTATTCTGCCACTTACAGATGCCATTTACCTTGGGTAAGATACTTAACACCAATTGGATGGTATCTTATAAAACTTTTGTTTGTTTTCGTATGCTATTTGGGGAGTATGTCATAAATTAATTTGATGGAATCCTTAAATTTTTAGTAACTGGCTCTAGTGTGAAAGGAGGTGGCTCAGAATTATCTCAGAAGGACCTTCTTATGTTAGAGGTCTGAAGCTTACTTAGCAGAAACTGAAGTTTCAGCCCTAGTGATAGATGACAAATGAAAACGGCCCTTTACCTAATTTCTGTTTCTCATCCAAAAGCAATTTATGATCTATTTAGAATAGAATAGAAATCAGAAGATTGGTTCTCTTTATTTTGCAAGTAGAACTTTCGTTCTGAATAACTGACTTACTGCTTATGCCTGAATCTCTTATCAGCTCACCAGGTCAGAATACCCTGGAAGACCTGATAGTTTGAGTGCTGACACCCAAATCCAAAATCTAAGTGTGGCTACATTAAGAAGGTGGCCACTGTGGGTAAGTGTCCAATCATGAGATCTCGTCAAAACAGTGATGGTGTCTAACCCCTGTCAGGAGAATCCTACTTAATTCTGTTGGAGAGTGAATCCCAGATCCCTGTCATCCTGGTCCTCAGGCCTTGGGCTAACAGGAAAGATGTTTAACACTTATTACAGGTCAGAAACTGCTGGATCATCCCACATAACATTACCTTATTTAATCCTCATAAAATTTCCCTGTGAAGTACTTTGTGTTATCCCCATTCCTAATTCCTCAAACACCCAACTTTTTTTCCCACCTTCTCAGCTTCTATATATCCTATTCCCACCTGGAATGCTTTTATTTCTCCTCTTTGCCTCATAATCCCTACTTGTCCTTCAGAGCTCATCTAAGATGTTACAACCTCAAGGAAGCCTTCCTAACCCCCTAGCTCTGATTACCCATTGCACACTGTAGTCACACACTGTATGTCAATAAGCACAAGAAATTCTGGGATTAGTCATGTAATATCTGCTGTGCATGCTGAAACATAAGCTCCATGAGGACAGGAGCTGTGTCTGTGTCATTTTCCTGTCTTATTTGTAGTGCCAGACATAGTTCCTTACCCATAAACATTCAGTACATAAAACGTCTGATTATCGCACACAAATGCCATCTATCAGGAATTGAATGCTTGTCTATTATAACTTCAGAACTTTAAATTGCACCAGACACAGAACCTAACAGGAAGTAGTTCTAAATGAAATTGCCCAAGAAACTTCCTCAACTCTATTTCAGTTCTAAATTGGCTAACGATAAAAGTTACTCATTAATCTTAGGTACTGGCTAGGGTGTGGTTCGGAGAAAAGGAACTGAAAGTCTTCAAAAAGTCTTCCCAGTCTGTGTAGGTGAGCTTTTCAGAGATGTCCCATGTTTCTGACCAGCTAGTTTTGAAAAAAACTGGTAGGACAGGCTCTAGGACTACACGTCCCATTAGGAAACTTTACGAAGTACAAAGGTAGATGCATCTGGTTTACCAGTATTTCTGACTTCCTGCTGAACTGAAAACTGCTTGTTTTGTGGAAAAGCAAAAACTCTGCAGCAAATACCGAAAATGAAGAGGCCCCGAACTTTTGAGGAGCAAACGGAATGCGTTGTGGACACTTTACTTACAGACTTCTTAGGCACCACAATGCAGGTTGCTAACCGGGACCTACGTTGTGGAGACGAACCAGATTCAGGTAAGGCTCCTAGCCTGAGGTGGTGATTGCAGGTCAATAAGAGCATCTGAGTATGCTTTCTTATTTCCTCTTAAGTTTCAAAAAGGCAAACTAAGCTTCAGCAATACCTGAAAATCAGTAGTTTCCATAGAAGGGAAAGATAGTCTCAGTGAAAGGAGATCTTCTGACTATGGGGTTGACAGAATATTGAAGGTGTTCTTGGGAGAGAACGATGCCAAGATTGTTTAAAGTCTAGAGAACATTCTCCAATGCCCAGATGCCTGGGACTGGCCGTCCCTTCAAGTTCTGTAACAAATGTGAATGTGTTGCCTCCATCTTAGGAGAGTCTTGTTCTTTTGATGTGGCCATCATTGCTGGCCGCCTTCGGATGTTGGGTGACCAGTTCAATGGAGAATTGGAAGCTTCTGCCAAAGATGTCATTGCAGAAACCATTCAGGGACAGGTAAAGTTGCTGCTGTTTTTCTATTCCAGATGCTCTTTTCTTACCACTCTTATATGGCTATAACTAGAAATGTCCTGTGAAAGATTTGGGGGCTTATGTTCATCCAAGGAGACACAGCAATAATTCTCCGATTGCTAATTCTTCAGGAGTTAATCAAAGGCCCAAGTGGTATTGAGAGGTACTGGCAAGGGCTGGTCAACCTTCAGATTGTTCCCATTTGTTTTTCAGCAGAGCTGTGCTTATGTGACATAGAGCACATCTGTAGCACTTTGTTCTTGGTAAAGCACTTTATTCTTTTATGTACCTGTTTTAACATTGATCTGGCTGGGAGTGGGCATCTTCCCCTCACACCCCCCCAAGGTCCAGCAATGAAATTATGTACCAGAAAGGCAGGAAGTCCACAAGTATGCTGCAGTAAGGGCTAAGTACTTACAGCAGCCATCTAGGGCATAGCTGGCTTTTCATTAGAATGTTGGTTACTGGCAGTGGCACTTGGATGCAAAGACCATAGGCGACATTCTAGAAGGTGTTGCTGATTAATATCGATAATGGCAGGTAATATGAACTCATCACTTAACAGGTGCCAAACAGTATTACAAATACTTTGCACTTATTATCTCATTTAAACCTTCCACCACTCCCTGGGGTATTATAGGAACTGTTATTCACAGGGCAACCTCTCTTCCTGTGCATGGAACGCTGTGAGAGCAAACATCTAACCTCTTTGTTCACTGCAGTATTCACACAACCCAGAATAGTACCTCCTGCGGGAGACCCTCCATAAATATTTTCTGACTCGATATCCGTCTAAGCAGATAGGGAAACTGAGGAAGAGGGAAACAAGAAATTAGGTTAGGTTACTCAGTTAGGATTTGAACCCAGACTGATTCCAGAACCACACTGTTCACCATTATGCTTTATTCTTCTTACCAAATATAGCTTGGATGGTGCACCTATTCAGGCAGAACTGGACTTATTATTCCTAATAGCTTGCACTGAAACTTTCCTAGGTAGCCGAGAGCTGAATTTACTTTTGTTTTTTAATTAAAAATAAAGTTTTTTGAAACTCCCAAATTCATAGGAAAGTTGCACATAATTAATTGTACAAAGAATTTCCCTCTTGAATCATCTGAAAGTAGGTAGCTGATATGATGTTCCATCATTCCCTAATACTTTCACATTTCCTTCAAACAAGGCCATTCTTTTATATAACCACATCAAAACTAGGAAATCAGCACTGACACATTATCATCTTGTCCTCAGATCCTGTTGAAGTTTTGCCAATTGTCCCAATGATGTCACATACAACAAAAAGATCCAGGCCAGAATCAGATCCTGCATTTAGTTGTCATGTCTCTTTAGTCTCCTTCAACCTGGCATTGTTCCTCAGTCTTTCCTTGATTTTTTGTGACCTTGACGCTCAAAGATTATGGGTTGGTTACTTTGTAGAATGTCCCTTAAGCTTGGGTTTGTTCCATGTTTCCTCATGAGTGGATTCAGGGTATGTACTTTTGGTAGGAAGGATTGCTGTGTTCTCATAGCACCTATTAAGTGGCACAAATTTTAATTTGTCACATTAGTGATGTTAACTTCAATCACTTAGGATGGTGTCTGCAAGTCTTCTCCACTGTAGTTAATACCTGTGGTTAACATAGTTAAGTGTTGTGGAGGGAGGTACTTTGAAACCATGTAAATATCCCATATCCCATCAACATTTCAATCTATTCATTTTTTTTATAGCAACACGGACTTATGAATTCTTACTTTATTCAAGGGTTATAATCTGTTACTATCATTATTTATTTGGATGCTCAAATTGTCCCAGTTTTGACCAGTGGGAGTCCTCTCCATCTGGACTGTGTCTTTTTAGCATGTCCCTGTCATTCTGTGAGTACTTCCTTAATTTCTGACAGATCTCTTGTATTTTCCAAGCCCCAGCCTGAAATCAGCCATTCTCCAGAGAACTCTGGTATCTTTCAATGGAGAATGATATTTGGAAACCAAGATCTGGGTACACATGTGGATGCCCTCTTCAGCTTGTTTGGGTTCTTTAAAAAAATTTTTTAAAGATTTTATTTATTTGACAGAGAGAGAGACAGCCAGAGAGGGAACCCACAAGCAGGGGGAGCGGGAGACGGAGAAGCAGGCTTCCCTCTGAGCAGGGAGGCCCATGAGGGGCTCGATCCCAGGACCCTGGGATCATGACCTGAGCGGAAGGCAGACGCTTAACGACTGAGCCACCCAGGCGCCCCAGCTTGCTTGGGTTCTGACAACCTGCTCTGACTACCATGGGTCCCCCTACACTACACCACAGTAGATCTTGCTTGGCCCCACCTAATGACTTTGAGATCAATTTTGGGGGGAAGGAAAGAGGAAGAGGAAAAACAAATCTTTTTTTTTTTTTTTTTACTTTAGAATTCCCCAGACTTCAGTCATTCAAGTAATACCTCTACAACTTGACCAGCTGTACTCTTACATACTTAATATTTTTCTTTCAAATCATTTTGTTTTTCTTTCAACCATTGTGCTCATCCTAAGTAATAATATCTGAACTCATGGGTTTGATGGGCTACTTATGTTTTTCTCTATACCCATTACAGTAAATAACAAAGTAATAAAAGCTTGTCCATCTACTCCTTAAGATTACCCCAGATACAACCAGTGGTGCATTTGCCATTCTCTAGGAAACTCTTGCTTTACTGGACTCCTACACCTGCAGCCTCCTGTACCTTTTTATTGCTACTTCACTGATTTCCTGTGTCTCTCCCCAGGCAGGAGCTGTACTGCGGGACACAGTGAAATCTCTCAGCCAGGCCTGGTGTGCTCAGGATTCCAGCTTAGCTTACGAGAGAGCCTTTCTGGCAGTGTCAGTGAAGCTTCTTGAATATGTGGCCCGCATGGCTCCCGAAATGGCAAGACAGGTGGCTGTCCCCATAACAAACATGATCAATGGGAACAGTGCCATCCGGGAGTTTGTCCAGGGCCAGGGAGGTTGGGTGAGTACGTTGGGGCCCTGGCTTTGATAGGCATTTGCATTGCTTTTGTACTAGTACCTGGGCCTCCCAATTCCTGATTCTTTCTGTAAGTTGGAAACCAAGTAGAAAAACAGGTCTTCCTACTTTGCTGAAAATGGCAGTTTGGGTTTTTTTACTCCCATTGGGAAGGGGAGCAGTCAGAAGCTCAGGCCTACGGGTGTTGGACTCCAGAGACATTTTGCCTAAAATTTTAGTTGACTACTAACAGTGTAGAGCTAAATCCCACTGCCTATATATAACGGCCTATTAAGTATACTGGTGATAGAGTACTAGTCTCAGCCCGGCTTCAGAAATTCAGAATCATCCCCCTGTTGTCTAACAAAAAACAGTGTCATCTGCTGCAGCGATAACTCTAGGAGGCATTCTAAGCCCATGTCTTAGTAATCATTAGAACATCTGCTCTCACTGAGCATTCCTCTTCATTTCCAGCAACAGCACAAGCCTCAGTAAGAGCTGCATTCCCTGGTGGTATCTGTAGATTATTTGTGCTTTCTTTAGGAAGCTCCCTTTAGAAAGACTATCCCTTTGACTCTAGGATATTCATTGTCCTTCCTAGGAAAATCTGGAGAGCTGAAAAAGAGGCGGCGCTGTTTCCCAGCCTGAACATCACTGCCACTTTGTTCTGGTGACTGATTGCTGGCCATTGACACAGACAGCCAAATCCAAAGCTACTTTCTTTTGGACACAACTGGACTTAGCTGAATAATTTCTTTTCCACTGATGGCTAAAGTTGGGAGCAGCCCTCGGAGGTCTACAGAGATTTTGTACCTTCTGTCTTTATGAGAGTTTGAAGGAGGTTCCATTTAAGCAAAGACCTCCAGATACAAAGTAATGGCTTGTTAGGAGTGGAATTTCCAGGCAACAGAGCAAGCCTTCACTGGACGTATTTTGGGAAAGGGAGCACACAGTAAACTATTTGTTCGGATTTAGCCCTGTCCTTTACTAAAGATCTTGTCTACTCTACAGTCTAAAGGACTTCAAGGGAGATCTTTGTTGGACTCTTGTTATTTTAAGTTGAGGATTTTCTTTTAAATTCCTATCCTAAATTTTGTGTTAATTTCGCCAAAGCAAAATTAATTGTATGCATTTTTAGGCTGAAAGCAAAAAAAATGGCAGTTTCTTCATCTGCCCTGCTACTAGAAAGGCCAACAAAAGATAAAACAGTGCATTTTTACTGCCACAGGATGCAGGAAGTGCTGGCCCACATCTAGGAGAGTGGGGCCATCCCACCTTAGATGAAACTAGCTGCATACCACAGTGTTTTTCAAACCAAAAAGTGGTTTACATACCACTTGTGGACCTTATATTTCCAGGCCCCATCCCTAGAGATTCTGATTCTGTAGGGGGAGGCTGGGGCCTAGCATCCTACCTTTTTAACCAGTTGCACAGGGGTTTCTTATGTCCATATAGAACTTGAGAACCCTCACGTTAGAGCAGGGCTTGGCCAAATCCTGTCTGCTGCTTTTTTTGTCGATAGGTTTATTGGCGTGCAGCTACACTCACCTGTTTCCATCTTGTCCATGCCTGTATTAGCACTGCAATGGCAGAGTTGAGGAGTTACAGCAGACACCTAATGGCCTGTAAAATATATTTACTATCTGGCCTTTACAGAAAAGCATGTAGACCCCTGCTTTAAAGCTAAATGAATGTTTCTCTCTGAATAATTTAAATTCTGTTGCAATCCTGATCATTCGTACCAAACACAACGGTATGTAGGATAACTCTATTTTTTTTTAGAATTTAATCTGAGAGTGTTTGTTAGTTCCTGCATAGTCCACACTTTCTCTGGGACTTTGGCAAATCAAAAAGCTCTGGGACGCCTGGGTGGTCAGTCACTAGAGGGTATCCATTTCCCTGGCCCCTACCGTAAGTGACTGGAAGTAAAGCCTATGGTATCTACGGCATGTGTATCTTGTAATAATCCTTCATACCTCATAGATTAGTAGGCACTCATCAAGTAGAGACTCTTACATTCATAAGCCCCAAGGCTAAACTACTTACCTGCTTGTCAAGAAGAAAAGCATTGCTGTATCTATTTTTGAAGAGAGGCATTAATGGTTTGGTTACAGTTTGGCTCAAGTGTAACCACATCCCCTCCCTTCAGCCAGCCAGCTCTCTGTTTCCCCTAAATGCATAGAAATAAAGATGTAGCGCTGCTACTATATTTTCACTTTTTAAGTTATGCTATTTCCTCTATTCATGGATAAATCACAATAGGTTAGTAATCCCAAATGAGATTTCATGTTTCTCTTAAGTAGGAATTAGCTTTATTTGCTACCAAGTTTGAACAATGTATTCCTTTGTCCCTTACATTACTGTAAATTCAACATGGTGGATTTTTTTTTTTTTAAGATTTTATTTATTTATTTGAGAGAGAATGAGAGAGAGAGAGAGAGCACAAGATGGGGAGAGCGGGAGAGGGAGAAGCAGACTCCCCACTGAGCAGGGAGCCCGACGCGGGACTCGATCCCGGGACTCCAGGATCATGACCTGAGCCGAAGGCAGTCGCTTAACCAACTGAGCCACCCAGGCGCCCTCAACATGGTGGATTTTGTGGTATTTTACATCTTAGGTGAAATCACTGTTTTCACTTTGACCAATGCTGTTTTGTTCGTGAAATAAAATTATGTCCATGTATTTGAACTAATTCTCAGTAAGTGCCATCTCAATTGAATGATAGAGAAACAACAGATTGGTGGTTTCCAGGGGCAGGGGATGGGAGGTGGGGGAAATAGGTGAAGGTGGGCAAAGAGTATAACCTTCCAGTTATAAGATGAATAAGGTCTGGGCATGTAATATACAGCATGGTGACTATAGTTAACAATATCGTATCATATATTGAAAAGTTGCTGAAAGAGTGGATTTTTAAAGTTTTCACCACACACACACACAAAACCACATTATTTATTTATTTTATTTATATATTTTTTTAAAATTTTATTTTTCTAAATAATCTCTATACCCAACATGGGGCTTGAACTCACAACCCTGAGATCAAGAGTCACATGTTTCACCAACTGAGCCTGCCAGGCGCCCCAAAACACATATTTTAGCTAGGCAAGGTGATAGATGTGTTAACTAACCTTACTGTGGTAATCATTTTAAAATATATACATATAGCAAATCATTACGTTGTATACCTTAAACTTATACAAAGTTATATGTCCGTTATATCTCAATAAGAGGACAAATAAAGTAAATGATAAATGTCAGAGGCCAGCAGCCTCCTCTTTGTCTTTTCTTTTCCCACTTAGCTAGAGAAGCTCCCTGTTTTATCCTATACTGCCAATGAAACATCAGAATATGAATCTGGCTCCAAATATATGGCAGTGTCTTGAGATTGAGGATATGGTGCCCCTGGAGGTTATGCTAAGTAAATGGGAAAAACAGCTCTGGTTTGTGTTTGTTGCTAGGCCACCCTTTCCTAGGAGAGCTGAGTGGTGGGGTTGCAGAAAGAAAACACGGTAGCCCAGAGATTAAGAATCCCTTCAGATTGTCTGATTTTAACAATTTAGTTTCACCATAGACTAATCATGTGACACCGGGCCAGTAATCCAATTCCTTTGTGCCTTAGTTTCCAGGTCTTAAAATAGAGATGATTTGGTTACTAATTCGTGGGATTGTGGCGAGGGATAAATGAAACAATACACTGTGTAAAGGGTTTAGCCCAGTTTCTGGAATATTTTAAGCACTGCACCATTAACAATTTGGGACTGCTGTGATTCGGTGTTCATAAAGTTCTACCTTGACTTTTTTTCTCTCCACTGACACGGTCTCTCACAAAGGCAAGCCAACCTTCTGGCTTTACCTCTCACCTTGATGTGGGTGATCCCCAAGTCTGGCTTATTTCCCATCTTCCTAAATCCACATCCACAAGCTCTAATTCTTCATTTCTATGTACCGTTCTTATCCCTGTACATTCCCAGACTGCCATCCAGCTAGCTCAAAACCTTAGTCATTTCTCCCTGTTCCCTCTTTCCAGTCTTGCACACACACAATTAGTCTTTCTCATTTATTCCTTCCTTTTGTCCTAATTCTCTGCCTGGACTTTTGGTAAAGCCTCTTAGTTAGGCTGTTCATTGATCAGCCTGTTCCAGGCTTGCCCCATTCCAGTCCATCCAATATACTGCCACCAGATTGACCAAAGCTGTGGTTTCCTTGTCTATTCTTTTAATTCATTTCTAGATCTGGCGTAATTCATTTTGAAGTTTTACATAACTACTGAAGGAGATGATGAGACTTTCAAAAAATTTATCAGAAGGGGCCATTTCTTAAAAAAAAAAAATATCGAGAAACATTGCTTTGCCTGCCATTTTCTTAAGATTTTCCAGTGGAACTTTTGAAGGTGATTGGATATGTTCCTTATCTTGATTGTGGTGATGGTTTCATGGCTGTGTACACATTTCAAACTTATCAAACCATGCACTTTGAAGTATGCAGTTTATTGTATGTCAATAGTATCTCAATAAAGTTGTATTAAAAAAAAACAACCTTTACTAGTTTTCCGCTGCCCATCAAATAAAGCCTGACTTTTCACCCTGGTGTTCAAATTCCCCCAGGGTCTGTCTCCAACTACCCTTTCTAGCCTTGATTATCAATCAGGACTCTACAGAACCAAGGCTCCAGGCAGACTGAGCCACTCACTAAGCCACCCAACTCCTACTGTTCTCTCTCTCTTTCATATTGCTTCTCTTCAGGCTCTTTGACATATTCAAGGCCTAACTTAAATGCTGCTTCCTCCATGAAGACTGTCCAGATAACCCAAGCACAAAGTGATCTTTGCCTTCTCAAAATTTTGTGCGCATAAAGTTTATGGCCTTACCACGAATGGCCTTAGATTATAGTTATTTGTGTACTTACCTTCCTTACGAGTATAAAAGATCCTTGAATGAAGACAATTTGTTGCACACATCTGTAGCGCCCCTCGTCCCCATTCTCTTGCATGTATATGGATCTCGTAAATATTCATTAAATGAATAAACAAACAGACAATACTGAATAAACAGTCAGAAGAAAGATAAGACTTCATGTTTGACTATATTTTGAACAAGATGCCAAGCCCCACCAAGAGTTAAAAAAAAAAGGTAAATTGCGTGATTTAGAAATTATCAGTTGACTTTTGCCCCCTGAGGATTGTGTTTCTGAAACCAAAGGTGGAGCATGATTCCCTGTGGAATGTGGGGTACTGACTACGAAGTTCACAGCAGGTGAACTAAAGAGCTTGATGAGGTCTCAGAATACTGTAGTGACCAGAAGCAATCATGACCAGAAGCTGGGGAGGGGACTTTCCTGCTGTGGGTGATGTAAAAACACCAGGAAAGCAACAAGCTTCGTTAGAGGCATTTTATAAGCTTCTTTTGTGTCCTTTTAGAGAGGGGGAACTGGATCTATTCTGGAGAGGAAGGAGGTCATCCCCCCCACCCACCCATGGTGGCCCTGCAGGATTGGACTCTGCGTCAGTGATGGCGGCCATGGCTCCGCTGCTGGGCAGCAGCCCTCAGGCAAGTGCTCTTTGCCAGGGTCCTGGATGTCCCTGTAGGGAAGGCCCATCTGTTCCCGGCACAGTGAAAGTGCCTGGCAGGAGACCCGGAGTCATTGCTGTCTTGAGCAAACAAGTCGGGGTGGATCTCTCACCAGCACCCAACCACATTATGTAGCGTCCTTTATCATGATAGGCTTATTTCAGGTGTGCTGAAGACCCTGGTAAGCACTGGGGGTTACCCAGATGCATATAGAAGACACTAGCATTGCCTTTGATAAACTTAAAACTCCAGGGGGCCGTTTGTGTGTTTTCTCTTGAATAAACTCTTTTAAACTCATGGGAGACAAGGAACACGTGAAGAAACAAAGAAAACTTCTATGACTGAATATAAAGACTTCATTCCGAGAAGAGGCAGACTAAGAGAAGTTCATTGGTGAGATGGCGTCAGGGGCAGGGTTGTTGAAGAAAAGAGTGACCAGGCTTTACAGCTCTATTTTTGTCTTGACGAAAATTAGGGGAAAGGTGAGAAGTAGCAAAAGAGGTGGCAGTAGCAGGAGCAAGGCCTCTGGGTGATGTGGCTAGGTAGTTTGGGTGGGGACACATGGCGAGGGGCTTGATGGCAGGCAGAGGAAGCTGTAGACCATTGGGTCTTGAGCATTAAAGTGGAGTTTTACGAACATTCATCCAGCCTTGGTTCCTAGGAGATGCTAGCACGGATTAGAATGAAGAGCCCATTGCTGCAGCAATCCATGTGTGCAAAAGGGCATGGTGGTCAGCATGGGAATGGAAAAGGCTGCTTGAATCTACAGGACATTGAGGAGAAAGGACAGGTCGGCCTTGGTGACCCAGCGGATGCTCGCAAAGAACCGAGTGTCCCGCAGATAATGCTAGAGCCCCTATCAAATCAATGACCCTGGGAGGTAGAGAAAGGCAGGCATAGTGAAACTGAAGCTACGATTGGTCAGTGGCTTCCCCAGGGTAGAGCATGCCTGCTCAGAGAGAGAGAAGGATGTGCTGAGAAACCTGAGTGTATTTTCCGTTAGCTAATAATGTCCTAATAATCTTCCCTGATACTCCCTTCGGTGAAGTGTTTTTTTGTCACCTAATTCCAGCCTCCGTGACACTGATGTTTCTCCTTACACTGGCACACTTCCCTCTTGCTGGTACAGGTGACCATGTGACGGGTCCTCCTCTCTGCTGTCCTCTTCCTTCTGACCACACAGCGGAGCCACAGGAGGCAGCAGTGAGATGGTCCTTCCTTGCTCTTCTTCAGGTGCTCATTCACTTTTACTTTCCACTAGAACTCACCCCTGAGGGTTCTGACCGAGTGCTCATGGAATTGTCGTGTTCACTCAGGGTGTGAGCCAGACTGGTTTCAATGTTTCATCACAAATTCGTCAATTCTTTTAGGTACTTGCCAGTCTCTGCTGTATAACATATTCCCCCCTCCCCAGCTCTTGATCTTCCCACAAGATATAAATGAGTCATCAGAATCTTTATCAAAAAGCACCATGCTCCTGTTGTCTGTAGACACCTATAAGTAAGTATCTATAGAAGGAAGTGTGAAAAATTAAGTAGCAGCTTAGATTTGTTAAAAATAAAACTGAAGTTTTTTGTTTTCTCCTTCAGTTTTGTTTTTTGCTCACTTGAGTGGTCTTCTCAGGAAATGGTCTTTCAGCTAAGTGGGTTTTTGAGGTTTGGTTATTTCACGATGTTTCTGTCTCTTTTGGTTTTAGAATGGAACAGACTCCTAAGAATTGCTGTTTGCTTTAAAAAAAAAAATCTGCAGTTATGCTAAGACACTATTTTTAGATTCTTATATTGGGGTAAAAGGACTACAGAGGGCATCTCAGCGAGTTTCTCTTTACCTCATATCTGTCTCTATCTTAGCTCTCCC